CGCAGTGGCTACAGCCGCAGTCACTACAGCGTGCTCGTCTGATTGGCTACAGCCGCAGTCACTACAGCGTGCTCGTCTGATTGGCTACAGCCGCACTCACTACAGCGTGCTCGTCTGATTGGCTACAGCCGCAGTCACTACAGCGTGCTCGTCTGATTGGCTACAGCCGCACTCACTACAGCGTGCTCGTCTGATTGGCTACAGCCGCACTCACTACAGCGTGCTCGTCTGATTGGCTACAGCCGCAGTCACTACAGCGTGCTCGTCTGATTGGCTAGTCCTTCTGAGCGTCACGGTTTTAACACTTGGAAAATATTCAGATTATTTTACCAAAATCTGAGCGTTTTAAGATTGTCGTCAGGATCAGGTTTTACATCGGCCTCATTATCCAGCTGTGAACCAGGCTTTACCCTAACTCCCTCACCCTGACAGAGGAACACACACATGTAGAAGAGTCACTTAGAGACAGTGGATCTTACTCTGCAAAAAGTTATTCATTATTATTATTATTATTAGTATTATATGTTTATTTGACAGAACAAAAAGCATTGGTCCAGGAAACGAGACATTAGGAAACGAGGCCATGTCCTTCAGTCGTTTTGTAATATTTAAATAGACTTAGCTTTGTGCACAAGTTTGGGTCCTTTTGAGCCATTTTAGATTCAAACATTAGAAAAAAATGTTCAAGTTTGATAAAATGTGTTTTAATTTTTGACTGAGCCTAAAACCAGATTCTCCAAATGGACAAAACAAAAAGATCATGTTTTAAAAAGAAACAGAAACGTGTCCCTTGAGGAAATAAACAGTTCTTTAATCAAGACTAAATGTTTTAGTCCCGTTGGAGGATTGGACTCAGAATGTGTCCGATTTGAGTGGTTAGCACTCCCTCTGCTCAGCAAGAAGGTCCTGGGTTCGAATCCCAGTCGGAACAGGACCTTTCTGAGTGGCGTTTGCATGTTCTCCCCGTGTCTGCGAAGGTTTCCTGTGGGTCCTCCGGGTTTCCCCTACCACTAAAAACATGCACACGAGGTCAAATGACCAAGCCGAGCATCAACATCTGGAGACGGGTTCCTGGGCGCTGTTACTATGGCGACCACTGCTCCTGACGTGAGCCTCAGGGCATCAGGGTCAAATGCAGGGAACAAATTGCCCTACAGGGAATAATAAAGTGCACCAAGAGAGTGAATAGGAGCCAAACTTCACCATGAGCACTTCACCAGGCTGCATAGAGCGTTCTCCGTTGTCTGGGTTTCACGTCTCGTCTCCTGGTCTTTGAAAGTCCCCGTGGAGTTTCTCTGCTGCTGGTTCCAAAGCTTCTAACTGTACTTTTTTGGATCCACCTCCTCCTGAACCACAACAAACCTGAGTCTGCCAAAGAGAATCCCTCTGCTCCTCTGCTTCTCTGCTCCTCTGCTCCACCGCTCTCTCAGCTTCTCTCAGCTTCTCTCAGCTTCTCTCAGCTTCTCTCAGCTTCTCTCAGCTTCTCTCAGCTTCTCTCAGCTTCTCTCAGCTTCTCTCAGCTTCTTTCAGCTTCTTTCAGCTTCTTTTGTTTCTGTGGCAAGAGTGAAAACTGAGAGAAAGATTCATATTCACATCCCCAGAGAAATCCCCAAACTCAGTCCAAACTCAGGTCCGCGGGCCAAGTGCGGCCCTCTGTGCAATTTTATGTGGCCCTCTGCTGCCAACACAAAGTCGCCATTGAGGTGCTTTGACAGTGTCATCCAGCCAACTTCAGCTCCACCAACACAGTCATGCTGTCGTTGACTTTATTGTTATTTACTGACGTTTGTTTATGATTGTGTCACAACATTCTGAATAAAATGCAGCTGTGGGTCAATAAGGAAAAAAGTTTGGACACCCCTGACGTAGAGTGAATGTTGTCGTTAAAGGAGCAGTGTGGACATGAAGCTGAAGTTACGGTTACTGCTGTTTAGTTTCTTCATCAACATAATCCTGGGGCCTCTTTTAGAATCAAACTTTATGTTATTGGTACTTAGTTACTCAGAAGGTCGCATCGTTCAATTAGCATTTATCATCAGTTTTAAGCAAAGTCCCAGACGGATCCAAAGTCTGGTCCGTGGCTCTGGCAGAAGTCCAGCTCCTGTAGAAGACTCCTGTAAAGTCTGATTATCACAGAGAAGGACGGCGCTGATAAACTGTAGGCCTTAAATCCTGATGTAAACACAGACTTTAGAATCGTGACTTTGCAGAATGTGAGGCTTCAAACACTTTGGTCAAAGACGTTTGGTTTTGGCATCGCCCAAACTGCCCATGAGAGAGTTCTGCCTGTTACACGTATGCTCTGTCAGCTGTTTAAAGTACAGCTGCCATTCTGAGACTCTAGTATTTAGCAAACAATAGTATCTAGACACATTTAATGACATTTTTAGACATTCATCCTGTCATCTATGAACCAACGACTTAAATGTGTTGGTTTTACCTCAAACTGTTTGTCACCCGGTCAGAACAGGGCCTCAACGCTACAAGCCGGAGTGATGTGTTCACGAACATGCACTGAGCCAACCAAATAAACAGTAAATATGCATTTTTGTTACGACCCGGCTCAGCTAGGTGTGAGGAAGTAACAAAATAACCAAGATGGTAGAATGGTAACTAAAATCATAATTTATTTAGGTGACAAAGTAGGTAAAACAAAATAGGATTAATATCTACATAACACACAGTAAATAAATAACCTATTAAAACAAGTAAGCAATTGACAAAACCAAAAGTGTAACCTAAACTGAGGCCCTGTCCACACGAAGTCAAGCTCAGGCCTAAACGCAAAAATACTTTATCAATCCAGTGTATCGTCCATACGAGGCCGGCGTTTTGGGGGGGTGTAAACGAACATTTTTGAAAGTAGGTCCCAGAGTGGAAAGATTTCAAAACTCCGTATATGCCGCTCCGTGGTTACTGCCTCTCCGCAATGTATCTGAGACGCTTGCGTCATCGCCCCGCCTCTTGTTAAGCACGCATGCGCCGCACTCAGAAAATAATGACAACAACAATGTAGCTTGTTGGTTTTGTAATCCAGTGTGACCCGAAGCAACAGTTCAACCTCATCGTCCGTCCATACTAATGTAGTACCAGCTCGCCCACTCGCCATGTTGTCTGTTTACAACATTCTGCGCATGCCCAGTTCCCGTCACGGAAGTTTGGGCTTGATCCCGTCATTGCGTCACAGCGCCACCAACAGGTCTGGCATAGTTTCACAGCGTTTTCAGGCGTATTGACTACATTCATATGGACGCACACATTTACTGAGCTAACTCCGTGTTTACAGAAAAAGTTTCTGAAATTATAAGCGTTTGGTCTTCGTGTGGATATAGCCTAAGTTTGTTTCAACATAAACTAAACGAGTCACTGAACTAAGGTACCGGCACAAGTGACAGAACACAGATAAAACTAATGGCGAACTGACTCCAGCTGCCCCGAGCCGCGGAAGATTGGCAGTTTATAAGGGCGGGTCCTCCAGGTGAGCGCACGCTGATTGGAGGCCTGCCTCAGCTGCTGCCCAATCAGCACCCAGGCATCGCGGTCAATCAGCTCCAGGTGAGGAATGACTGGCCAATAGGAGCCCAGGACTCACGAGCGTGATCTTCTGAAAAAAGTGAGGAAACACAACCACACAGAGACACCACCGGAGAAACTAAAGTGATCCCCAAAATAGGGAATTATGGGCCGTAACACATCTGTTTGATTGGACACTAGTCTGACCAGCCCCGCCCAATGTGGGAAGTCAGGGGGGAGTTATGGGTGAGGGGGTGAGGGTGAGGGTGAGGCAGAACTCCAGAGCAGACAGGAAACTAGAACAACCTGAGTATTTGAAGACTGGTGGTTCACTATAGAAAATGAATAATTGGCCAAACTGAACTTCTTCTGGACTAAAATAATGGAGAATACTATAGTAGCCTTTTTTTAATCATGAGGTCATTTTGTTAAAAAAAATTAACTACAAAAATGAAGGATGTAATAAAATGCCCAAAACAAAAACTAGAGAAATTGACACCAAAGTTACAAAACTCAGTCAGGTGAGACACATGGGGGCGGGGCATCAAGTCAGGAAACAGGAAGTACAACTGCAGAAGACACAGGGATAAAAACAAATACATTATAAAACTGGGAATAAACTTAAAACCATGACACGGCCTTGTCCCAATACCCACAATGCACCTCTGCCCCCTACAGTCCTCTACAGTGAGTGTTTGAAGTGCACGGGTTTGAGTGGCAGGTTACAGCAGAAAAGGCAGAATTGGGACAGTGCAGGTGATGTCATCGACTCGTCAGAGATGGTCATTTTCCGACATAAACTTTATTAAGTTAAAGGTCATTTTGTCCAACGCTGTGGGAAACAAAACGAGTTGCTCCAAACACGTTAAAATACATGCATATTGGTTATTCGTAATTTGAGATGGTATAATTTTAAGTTAAATGTGTTAAATGTGGTTTTATGGTCAGTTTTTATACATCCTAAGATTATTGTATTTAGTTTAAAGTTTAAATTGAATGTTATATGAATACTTGGCTTAAAAAAAGTTATGAAATTGTTAAAATATAATGCCCGTAATTCTTCATCAGACGTTTATGCTTCTTTCCGAGTAACAGCAAAACTTATTTACACACATACAGCATATAGATTTCAAAACTTACACTTAAATGCATTTTCCCGACGTTTTGGTTTGTACCGCAAAGAATTATGGGCAATATCCTTCGCCAGAGTCCGCTTAGATGCAGGCTACGGCGAAGTGTGGATCGGGGGCGCAAAGGGGGCGGGGCCAAAGACCTCCCTGGAGAATTGGGACTGTACCCTACGCACTCGCACCCATCATCGGGAACGCGCGAACGAGGGGCGCCAGGTTGGAAGTGCGAGTGTTGGGACAGGGCCTTACTGTGAGAAAATAAAAAGGTTTGGTCCCAAACTGTTTCCGGGTCAAAGCCACAGCAGCTTCTTTTGTTTCCATTGGCTGAAACACTGCCCCCTGTGTGCGGTCCTGAGAATGCAGCTCCGTCTGTGGAGCACGGAGCCGGAGTTTAGCCCAGACAGCGGGAAACCTCAGATCCTATCACGCCGCAGTCACTCCTCGGCTTTGTAAAGAGGATTAGTATTCTCCACACGGGGATTATATCGGGAGATAATCGCGGCAACGGTAATTCTGGAAACAATGGACTTAAAAGAGCGAGGAGCGTCTGGTCCGGGTTTGAACGGCGCTGTTCTTTCAAAGTCCATCTCACATGATCTATTTAAGTTACTACAAAAGCCAGGTCCAGAGTCTGGAAGACACAGGACTTAAAGTATTGGTTACTACAGAGACCGCGACTGCTAAAGCTGCAGGACCTGACTTTGGGTTTCATGAATAATTAATGTTTGTCGCAGAAAGAGTTGTGTAAAAGTAAAACGTCTCTCATTAGAAAACACACTGTTCAAACTTGTGAGAAAGAACCCTGAGAGTGTGGTCCTTTCTTCTTCAAGCCATCGAACTACTTACTTAGAAACTAACTAAAAACTACTTAGAAACTACATTAAAAATTCAAATGGATCCTTTTTCTGTCAATATTCTGTGGCAACTAAATCCCCTTTTCTCCAAGTTCTGGTCCGGTCCTGGTCCTGGTCCTCCTCTTTACCCACAGACCTCCTCTTTACCCACAGACCTCCTCTTTACCCACACACCTCCTCTTTACCCACACACCTCCTCTTTACCCACACACCTCCTCTTTACCCACACACCTCCTCTTTAGACCTCCTCTTTACCCACACACCTCCTCTTTAGACCTCCTCTTTACCCACACACCTCCTCTTTACCCACACACCTCCTCTTTAGACCTCCTCTTTACCCACACACCTCCTCTTTACCCACACACCTCCTCTTTACCCACAGACCTCCTCTTTACCCACAGACCTCCTCTTTACCCACACACCTCCTCTTTACCCACACACCTCCTCTTTAGACCTCCTCTTTACCCACACACCTCCTCTTTACCCACACACCTCCTCTTTACCCACTCACCTCCTCTTTACCCACAGACCTCCTCTTTACCCACACACCTCCTCTTTACCCACACACCTCCTCTTTACCCACACACCTCCTCTTTACCCACACACCTCCTCTTTACCCACACACCTCCTCTTTACCCACAGACCTCCTCTTTACCCACAGACCTCCTCTTTACCCACAGACCTCCTCTTTACCCACACACCTCCTCTTTACCCACAGACCTCCTCTTTACCCACAGACCTCCTCTTTACCCACAAACCTCCTCTTTACCCACACACCTCCTCTTTACCCACAGACCTCCTCTTTACCCACACACCTCCTCTTTACCCACACACCTCCTCTTTACCCACACACCTCCTCTTTACCCACAGACCTCCTCTTTACCCACACACTTCCTCTTTACCCACAGACCTCCTCTTTACCCACACACCTCCTCTTTACCCACACACCTCCTCTTTACCCACACACCTCCTCTTTACCCACACACCTCCTCTTTACCCACAGACCTCCTCTTTACCCACACACCTCCTCTTTACCCACACACCTCCTCTTTACCTACAGACCTCCTCTTTACCCACACACCTCCTCTTTACCTACACACCTCCTCTTTACCCACACACCTCCTCTTTACCCACACACCTCCTCTTTACCCACACACCTCCTCTTTAGACCTCCTCTTTACCCACACACCTCCTCTTTACCCACACACCTCCTCTTTAGACCTCCTCTTTACCCACACACCTCCTCTTTACCCACACACCTCCTCTTTACCCACACACCTCCTCTTTACCCACACACCTCCTCTTTACCCACAGACCTCCTCTTTACCCCACACACCTCCTCTTTACCCACACACCTCCTCTTTACCCACACACCTCCTCTTTACCCACACACCTCCTCTTTACCTACAGACCTCCTCTTTACCCACACACCTCCTCTTTACCTACACACCTCCTCTTTACCCACACACCTCCTCTTTACCCACACACCTCCTCTTTACCCACACACCTCCTCTTTACCCACACACCTCCTCTTTAGACCTCCTCTTTACCCACACACCTCCTCTTTACCCACACACCTCCTCTTTAGACCTCCTCTTTACCCACACACCTCCTCTTTACCCACACACCTCCTCTTTAGACCTCCTCTTTACCCACACACCTCCTCTTTAGACCTCCTCTTTACCCACACACCTCCTCTTTAGACCTCCTCTTTACCCACACACCTCCTCTTTACCCACACACCTCCTCTTTACCCACACACCTCCTCTTTACCCACACACCTCCTCTTTACCCACAGACCTCCTCTTTACCTACACACCTCCTCTTTACCCACACACCTCCTCTTTACCCACACACCTCCTCTTTACCCACACACCTCCTCTTTACCCACAGACCTCCTCTTTACCCACACACCTCCTCTTTACCCACACACCTCCTCTTTACCTACAGACCTCCTCTTTACCCACACACCTCCTCTTTACCTACACACCTCCTCTTTACCCACACACCTCCTCTTTACCCACACACCTCCTCTTTACCCACACACCTCCTCTTTACCTACACACCTCCTCTTTACCCACACACCTCCTCTTTACCCACACACCTCCTCTTTACCCACACACCTCCTCTTTAGACCTCCTCTTTGCCCACACACCTCCTCTTTACCCACACACCTCCTCTTTACTCACTCATGGTTGCGTCTGGACCCCGAGGTGTTGATGGTTCCTCTGAGCACTAAACCATGGGTCATTGAGGCTGACGTTAATGAATCCGTTCTGATGAAAAGTCTCTTGATTAGTGCGTTGACATTTCGGTTTTAAGTGGTTAGCGTTAGCACATAATTGTTTCTCTTTCATTACGGAGACGGAGCCGAGGTCACGTGGAAGATGAAGGTCTGGGGCCCGCTCCGATCGCAGTAATGAGACGTTGATGGTAAAACCAGAGGAAGCAGGAAAGACCATGGTACCATAATGCAACAAAACTGTCAAATACATTTACTACGACAAATACAGTATGGCCTTGTATTGGAATACTTGAAAACACGATCACTTTTTCCCCACAGGTCTCATCTTCTCTCTCTTTACTCTCTCTGGTCTCTCTCTGGTCTCTCTCTGGTCTCTCTCTGGTCTCTCTCTGGTCTCTCTCTGGTCTCTCTCTGGTCCCTCTCTCTGGTCTCTCTCTGGTCTCTCTCTGGTCTCTCTCTCTGGTCTCTCTCTGGTCTCTCTCTGGTCTCTCTCTGGTCTCTCTCTGGTCTCTCTCTGGTCCCCCTCTCTGGTCTCTCTCTGGTCTCTCTCTCTGGTCTCTCTCTGGCCTCTCTGGTCTCTCTCTGGTCTCTCTCTGGTCTCTCTCTGCTCTCTCTCTGGTCTCTCTCTCTGGTCTCTCTCTGGTCTCTCTCTAGCCTCTCTCTCTGGTCTCTCTCTGGTCTCTCTCTGGTCTCTCTCTCTGGTCTCTCTCTTTACTCTCTCTGGTCTCACTCTGGTCTCTCTCTGGTCTCTCTCTGGTTTCTCTCTGGTCTCTCTCTGGTCTCTCTCTGGTCTCTCTCTGGTCTCTCTCTAGTCTCTGGTCTCTCTCTCTGGTCTCTCTCTGGTCTCTCTTTGGTCTCTCTCTGGTCTCTCTCTGGTCTCTCTCTGGTCTCTCTCTAGTCTCTGGTCTCTCTCTCTAGTCTCTCTCTGGTCTCTCTCTGGTCTCTCTCTGGTCTCTCTCTGGTCTCTCTCTGGTCTCTCTCTGGTCTCTCTCTGGTCTCTCTCTGGTCTCTCTCTGGTCTCTCTCTGGTCTCTCTCTGGTCTCTCTCTGGTCTCTCTCTGGTCTCTCTCTAGTCTCTCTCTCTCTCCCCATCTATCTATCTACCTGGACCTGACTGTAGACCAGAAAGACCACCGTGATAGAAACGTTTGGATGTATCTGGCCTGTTTTTTTACGTAGATAATAATTGTATAAAGTCAGAATCCAAACTGTGGAGATTAAATTAGCTAAATTTAAAGGAGGCTCGCTAACAATAGAGGAAATTAGGGAAAGTCACTCTCAAAAGTCCAGTGTGGATAAAATACGTCCTTTTTTCTGAGTTTTTCTATTTCCTTTTTAATTTGCACCATCTCCTGGATTAGGTCCTACATTAGGTCCTGGATTAGGTCCTGGATTAGGTCCTGGATTAGGCCTTGGAATAGGTCTTGGATTAGGTCCTAGATTAGGTCCTGGATTAGGTCCTGGATTAGGTCTTGGATTAGGTCCTATATCAGGTCCTGGATTAGGTCTTGGATTAGGTCTTGGATAAAGTCCTAGATTAGGTCCTAGATTAGGTCCTGGATTAAATCTTGGATTAGGCCCTGGATTATGTCCTGGATTAGGTCCTGGATTAGGTCTTGGAATAGGTCTTGGATTAGGTTTTGGATTAGATCCTAGATTAGGTCCTGGATTAGGTCTTGGATTAGGTCCTAGATCAGGTCCTGGATTAGGTCTTGGATTATGTCTTGGATAAAGTCCTAGATTATGTCCTGGATTTGGTCCTAGATTAGGTCCTGGATTAGGTCCCAGATTAGGTCCTGGTTAAATCCCAGTTTTACTTTTTGCTCACAGATTTGACATTAGGAAACGGTGACTTGGGGTTTGTGAATGCCAGAGCTCGCCGTAGGTGTCATCAGTCACGACCGTCTCAAAGGTCAGCGGCGGCGGTGGCGGCAGAGTGGTTAGCCTGTGTTTACGCGCTGCTCTCTCACTAAACTGTGACCAACGAACCTGAAGCTCTCGACTTTCTTCAAAAGCAAAAATCAAAGAAGTCCTTCAGAAGTGTCAGCCGAGACTGGAGTGAAGTCTTTGAACAGTGTCTGGGAGTAGGGTTTGCATGTTCTCCCTGTGTCTGTGCAGCTTTTCTAGTCATTTACGGTTACTACTGTTTATATTTATTTTTTCTCTAGTCTCTGTGTGTTTTAAAAATGGACCTAGAGTCTGTCATGAGTGGAAATGAATTGCAACTCATTACAGACTATAGGTCTCTCTCTAGTCTCTCCCCCTGCTCTCTCTCTCTGGTCTCTCTCTGGTTTCTCTCTGCTCTCTCTGCTCGCTCTCTCTAGTCTCTCTCCCTGCTCTCTCTGCTCTGTCTGCTCTCTCTCTCTCTGGTCTCTCCCTGGTCTCTCTCTCTGGTCTCTCTCTGGTCTCTCTCTCTGGTTTCTCCCTGGTCTCTCTCTAGTCTCTCTCTGGTCTCTCTCTCTGGTCTCTCCCTGGTCTCTCTCTGGTCTCTCTCTGGTCTCTCCCTGGTCTCTCTCTGGTCTCTCCCTGGTCTCTCTCTGGTCTCTCTCTGGTCTCTCCCTGGTCTCTCTCTGGTCTCTCTCTGCTCTCTCTCTCTCTGGTCTCTCTCCCTGCCCTCTCTGCTCTCTCTCTCTCTCTCCCTGCTCTCTCTCTCTCTCTAGTCTCTCTCCCTGCTCTCTCTGAACCCAGATATCTAAGTTCCCACATTTCTACAGTGATGTAACCTGACTTCATTACAAACTTACTTTAACGTCCATGCTTTCTTTCCCTTGAGCTCTTTGCCAGTTTCTCTGAAGGTCACAATCTCTGGTTATGCTAATGCTAATGCTAATGCTAATGCTAATGCACTCAAACTGCAACTCATTACAGACTATAGGTCTCTCTCTAGTCTCTCCCCCTGCTCTCTCTCTCTGGTCTCTCTCTGGTTTCTCTCTGCTCTCTCTGCTCGCTCTCTCTAGTCTCTCTCCCTGCTCTCTCTGCTCTGTCTGCTCTCTCTCTCTCTGGTCTCTCCCTGGTCTCTCTCTCTGGTCTCTCTCTGGTCTCTCTCTCTGGTTTCTCCCTGGTCTCTCTCTAGTCTCTCTCTGGTCTCTCTCTCTGGTCTCTCCCTGGTCTCTCTCTGGTCTCTCTCTGGTCTCTCCCTGGTCTCTCTCTGGTCTCTCCCTGGTCTCTCTCTGGTCTCTCTCTGGTCTCTCCCTGGTCTCTCTCTGGTCTCTCTCTGCTCTCTCTCTCTCTGGTCTCTCTCCCTGCCCTCTCTGCTCTCTCTCTCTCTCTCCCTGCTCTCTCTCTCTCTCTAGTCTCGCTCCCTGCTCTCTCTCTCTCTCTCTGGTCTCTCTCTGCTCTCTCTCTCTCTGGTCTCTCTCCCTGCCCTCTCTGCTCTCTCTCTCTCTCTCCCTGCTCTCTCTCTCTCTCTAGTCTCTCTCCCTGCTCTCTCTCTCTCTCTCTGGTCTCTCTCTGCTCTCTCTCTCTCTGGTCTCTCTCCCTGCCCTCTCTGCTCTCTCTCTCTCTCTCCCTGCTCTCTCTCTCTCTCTAGTCTCTCTCCCTGCTCTCTCTCTCTCTCTCTGCTCTCTCTCTCTCTCTCCCTGCTCTCTCTCTCTCTCTAGTCTCTCTCCCTGCTCTCTCTGAACCCAGATATCTAAGTTCCCACATTTCTACAGTGATGTAACCTGACTTCATTACAAACTTACTTTAACGTCCATGCTTTCTTTCCCTTGAGCTCTTTGCCAGTTTCTCTGAAGGTCACAATCTCTGGTTATGCTAATGCTAATGCTAATGCTAATGCTAATGCACTCAAACTGTAGATTAATCTGTTTATCATTGACTTCTCCGCTCACGATTCTGCCTCAATCTCCGTGGACTCGGCTCTCATCATGCGCTCTGAATACTCTACATGTTTATCAAATGCAGCCAGCGAAAGTTCAATTTGGTAGACGTTAACCAAATTTACCCCCTCCAGGCCGGCTCGCATCCCAGCCTATCGCTCAGCAGACGCCCCCTTCCAATCATCGTACCGACTACGCCAGCCGCATAAAAACGGAAAAACTACCACTCTCTGCCTCCTGAAGCCTCGCAACCACCGCCTCCCCTCCTCCTCCTCTTCACCCTGCCTCCAATCTGCCTCCAATCTGCTTCCTGCTGCCAAATGCCGCCACCAGTGCCTAGGTCCCGGGGAATGTGCGCGCTCCAGCGCAGGAGCCTTTCCGATCTGAAGGCCGCACCGGGACCTAGGGCGCCAAACCTCCTTTCATAAAATACTCAAAACTTCCTGTTTTCTCGTCTCTCCAAATTGAAATGCTAATGTCGCTATTCATCTCCCGCCGTCGTCTCCGCCGCCGCCACCGTCACCGCCGCCGCTCTGAGAGTCACGGCCGCTGCGTTCGCGTTTGGGAGGTGAAGATTGGGACGCGATCGTCTGTGTCTCCTGTCGCTGT